AAACCACAATTAAAAAAAAAAAAAAGACTTCACCAAAAGAGATACTCTAAAAGAGAACCTACGAACTGGGAAGAAATGTTTGACTACAACATATCCGACAAGGGTCTAATCTCTAAAATCTGTAATATACTACAACAACTCAACAAGAGAAAGACAAATAATTCAATTAAAAAATGGGCAAAAGATATGAATAGACACTTCACTGAAGAAGAAATACAGGTAGCTAACAGACTCAGGAAATGCTCTCGATCATTAGCTATTAGAGAAATGCAAATCAAAAGTATAATGAGATACTATCTCAACTTGACATTACTGGCACTAATTTAAAAACAAACAAACAGAAAATAATAAATGTTGGAGAGGTTGTAGGGAGTTTGGAACTCTTATACACTGCTGGTGAGAATGTAAAATGGCACCACCACTATGGAAAATAATACGGCACTTCCTTAAAAAGCTAGAAATAGAAATACTATATGATCCAGCAATCCTACTCCTAAGAATATATGGTAGAGAAGAAACAGCCATCACACGAATAGAACATATGCACACCCATGTTCATTACAGCATTACAATAGCAAAAAGATGGAAACAACCTAAGTGCCCATCAACAGATTAATGGATAAATGAATTATGGTATATACCCACAATGGAATACTATGCAATGATAAAGAACAATGGTGAATCTGCAAAACATTTCACATGATGAATGGATCTGGACGGTATTATGCTGAGCGAAGTAAGTCAATCACAAAAGTACAAATGCTGTATGAGACCACCATTATAAAAATTCAAGAAAAGGTTTACACACAGAAAGAAAGAATCTTTGATGGTTATGAGGAAGGGGAGTGCTTAGGAAGGGAAATCACTAACTAGATAGTGGGTAAGTGGTTAACTTTGGTAAAGGGTAGGACAACACACAATAATAGGGGAGGTCAGCACAACTTGACCAAGGCAAAATCATAGAAGCTTCATAGACACATCCAAACTCCCTAAGGGACCGAGGGCTGGGAACCATGGTCTTGGGGGACATGTAGGTCAATTGGCATAACATAGTTCATAAAGAAAATGTTCTACATTTGACTTTGGTGAGTAGTGTCTGGGATCTTAGAAGCTTGCGAGCAACCATCTAAGACACATCTACTAGTCCCATCCCATCTGGAGCAAAAGAGAATGAGAAAAACCAAAGACACAAGGTGAGTATTAGTCTAAAGGACTAATGGACACAGCCTCCACCAGCCTGAGCCCAGAAAAACTAGATGGTGCCTGGCTACCACCACCAACCACTCTGACAGGGATCACAATAGAGGGTTCTGAACAGAATGGGAGAAAAATGTAGAACAAAACTCAAATTCACGAAAAAAGATCAGACATACTGGTCTGACAGAGACTACAGGAACTCAGAGACTATGACCCCCAAACACTCTTTTAACACAGAATTAAAGTCATTTCCAAAGCTTACACTTCAACCAAAGATCAGACAGATGTCATGGATTGAATTGTGTCCCCCAAAAATATGTGTATCAATTTCCCTAGGCCATAATTCGCAGTATTGTGTGATTGTCCACCATTTTGTCATCTGATGTGATTTTCCTATGTGTTGTAAATCCTACCTCTATGATGTTAATGAGGTGGGATAGGCGGCACTTATGTTAATGAGGCAGGACTCAATCAACAAGATTGGATTGTGTCTTGAGCCAATCTCTTTTGAGGTGTAAAAGAGAGAAGCGACCAGAGACAGGGGGACCTCATACCACCAAGAAAGCAGCGCTGG